CTCCCCCCGCGTTTGGGGGGGGGGGGGGGAGAGCAAAAGATATTGCTGAACTGGCTTGCATCTAATAGATGCAAGTTAGTTCAGTGATCCCTTTCGCTACCCCCCATGGAAAATGCCATGAATCTCACAAGCTCACTGACAAGTCACTCTGGAGTGGTGGCGTGGCTCTGAAAGGTTCCTGACCATAGCCTTGGGTACCAGCATTTCTGGCCCATGAACCCTCTTTCGAACCAAACAAACCACCACAAAACCCATGGTGGTTTGTGGGCTGTTCGTGAACACCGCAGTTGCATGAATCGCTGTTCGTGAATGCACAAACCAGCCCAGTTCGTCAAGAAATTCGGTTCGTCATTTGGTTCATGCCCATCCCTAGATGGAACTATGCAGAGAATAATGACTCCTGTAGCAGGTGTCATAATTATTCACCCAACGAGTAATTAACACGCGGAGTTCACTGCCGCAGGAAGTGGTGGCATCTACAAGCATAGACAGCTTCAACAGGGGATTGGATAGACATACGGAGCAGAGGTCCATCAGTGGTTATTAGCCACAAGGTATAGATAGGGACACTGTCTGGGGCAGTGATGCTCTGTACTTTTGGTGCTTGGGGGGCAACAGTGAGAGGGCTTCTGGAGTTCTGGCCCTGCTGGTGGACCTCCTGATGGCTCCTGGGTTTTGGCCACTGTGTGACACAGAGTGTTGGACTGGTTGGACCATAGGCCTGATCAAACATGGCTTCTCTTATGTCCTTATGTCTGGAGCAGTGATGCTCTGTATTCTTGGTGCTTGGGGGACGAGAGTAGGAGGGCTTCTGGAGTTCCAGCTCTGCTGGTGGACATCCTGGGTTTTGGCCACTGTGTGACACAGAGTGTTGGACTGGATGGGCCCTTGGCCTGATCCAACATGGCTTCTCTTATGTTCTTATGTCTGGGGCAGTGATGCTCTGTCTTCTTGGTGCTTGGGGGAGGCCACAGTGGGAGGGCTTCTGGAGTTCTGGCCCCACTGGTGAACCTCCTGATGGTCCCTGGGTTTTGTCCACTGTGTGACATAGAGTGTTGGACTGGATGGGCCACTGGCCTAATCCAGCATGGCTTCTCTGATGCTCGTATGTCCTTATATCCTCTAAGGGTGAACCATTCTAGTGCATGTCTTCATCAGATGTGATTGGATTAAAAGGGGTTTCATGAAAAGGTATACCTTTTGGAGTCTCACAGTAGCTTTCAATTATGGAATTAATTAGTTTCTCACAGCACATCAGCAGTCCTCTTGAACTTTGCTCTGGGAACAGCAAGCTGAAATACCACGGTCTCTGGTGATCGATCGCCACAGCTTTCCTATCCACACTTCCAAAGGCGTCTGCTCTTTTGCCCTACGCTACCTGGGCATGTCAGTAACTCTTCCCCTCTGGGAACAGCAAGCTGAAATACCACGATCTCCGGTGATCGATCGCCACAGCCTTCCTATCCACACTTCCAAAGGCATCTTGCTCTTTTGCCCTACGCTACCTGGGCCTGTCAGTAGCTCTTCCCAGCATGCAAGTGGCCTGTGAATGTGGCTCTCTTAGGTGGAACCAAGCTTTGCAAGTGGACAAACCTCGGGCACACTCAGCGACATGGGAGCGGGGGGCAGACAAGGAGCAGAAAAGCAGCCAGAGCATGGCAAGAATAAGCCATGGTAGCTCATTAGCATCTCTGGAAGGTCGTTATTAAGCTGTTATCTAGAAAACTTCAAACAAGGATGCTTCCTCGCTTCCAGCCTGCATGCATCGGGTGTAATTTACCTTTAGTCCGGGGGGTGAATAATTGAGCGGAGTGACCTTTCTTGAATTAAGCATTCAATAGTGAAAGTAAATCACCGCCGTCGCTAACCTGCACAACGAGCGGGGATTGTGTTTGCAGTTTGTCTCCATAATCATAGAGGGGCCGTCCACCGAACCTGAGCTCCATTTATCACTCTAAACGGGGGTTTGGGGGCCCCCCCCCGCTATAAAACAGCACACGATGTCCTCGGATTTGCATATTTTCATTAGCGCTGGAGAAAGGGATCAATTAAAGCCCCGGAAGCTTGGGCAGATCCTTACCTGCAAGCAGAAGACGGGAAAGGTGTTGGTGACGCGGCCCGCTTTGCAGCATTTGACGTTCTTTGTGAACCTATTCGTGTGTCTCGGGGACACACTGTCGGAGTTTTAACTTTCGCCGCCCGATTGATGGGCAGCCCAGTCCCAAAAAAAATAAAATAAAAAATCTCTTGAACTAATGCAATTTAGTTGCGGCGAGCCCAACGGGGACCAACAGTTGAATTCTAATTATGTTTACTCAGAAGTATGCATTATCTATTATTACATTTTTATCCGGCTCTTCCCCCCCGAGGAACTCGGGGGACCACACACGGTTTTCTCTCCTCTCCCCCTTCCCTCCACGCAACCCTCAAGATAACGATGCAGAATAAATTAGTCCAAGACAAAGCAGTTGGCCCGGGGTTCAAAGCCCTGCTCCACCGTGAAGACCATAGAGATCTCCATGGCTAAATGGGGCTTTCAACTTAGAATCATAGAATCACAGAGTTGGAAGGGGCGCCTCCTGAGAGCACCTGGTGTTTTTGGCCACTGTGTGACAGAGTGTTGGGCTGGATGGGCCGCTGGCCTGATCCAACATTGGCTTCTCTTGTGTTTTTAGGTTCAATGCAGGATCAGCCTAGGGTATCTCTGACAAGTGTTTGTCCAGCCGCTGCTTGAAGACTCCAGTGAGGGGGAGCTCACCACCTCCCTAAGCAGCTTGATTCCACTGCTACAGAACTCTTACTGTCAAAACATTTTCCCTAAGATCCAGCCAGTACCTTCCCACCCTTCATTTCAACCCATGATCACAAGTCCTCTCCTCTGCTGCCAACAGGAACAGCTCCGTGCCCTCCTCTAAGGGACAGCCCTTCGAATACTTCAAGAGAGCAATCCTGTCCCCCCTCAGCCTCCTCTTCTCCGGACGGAACATTCCCAAGTCCCTCCGCCTTTCCTCATAGGGCTTCTTGGCCTCCAGGCCCCCGATCATCCTCGTCGCTCTTCTCTGTGCAGACTCCGTTCTGTCCACGTCCTTTTTGAAGTCAGGCCTCCAGAACGCCAGGTGTGGCCTGACCATTGCAGTGTACAGCAGGACCGTGACGTCTTGTGATCTGGACGTTATGCTTCTGTTGATACACCCCCAAGATCGCATTGGCCTTTTTTGTCGCCGCATCACACTGACGGCTCATATTTAACTTTCGGTCCACCCTTACCCCCAAGATCTTATTCACACACACTGCTACTCAGAAGTGTATCCCCCATCCGGTATACGTGTTCCCCATCTTTGTTACCCCAAAAACTCGAGTCTCCTCAGTCCTGTCTTAACCGTCCCACTATGATCATGAAGAAGCTGGGGATTATTAGGAAAGGGATTGAAAATAAAAAGGCAAATATTGTAATGGCCCTGTACAGATC